GCTTTTATCAATCCTGTAAAGGCATCAGTAAAAGTAGGAGATATTTAAACCCTTGACAAGAGGGTATTTTCCATATCTATGAGCTGGAGCCACCAAGGGAGGAGGCTTAGATCCTTGGGACTGGAGGCTTAGATCCTTGGGATTGTTAGGCGCACATAGCACACAAGCTGGTGAGACCTAGTCAATAGTCTTGCAAAGCCCTCTGCAACCAAACACCTGTCTGCAAATCTAGTGTTGCTGGCCTTGGCTTAAATAGCAGCCATGAGACAGGACATGGTGGGAAAGGCCGGTGTGTGTTTACTAGAAAGGACATAACAGAAAGCCTCATTAAATGAGGAGGGCATGAGGACGCCAAGGAATCAACCTGAATCCTGATGTTTCCATATCGCTCTCTGGAATCCTAAAGGGCAGGGTATGTGCAAAAACAGATAGTTTGGTTGCCAGGTGATTTTAACAGTCTTTTGTCTATTGTAATTCTAGCTTCCCTTGAGGCCTTATCTTATCGGGCTGTTAGTTTACTTAATTTATTTAGCTTTGCTCAGAGCTTTGCCTTTTGTCCCTTTATTTTCTGGTCTCACTGTCTCACTGACTGAGGGAGACGAGGAGATTTCCTGATCTGAGCCATTCATGTGGTTCCTGAGTGTAACTGCAGGTTAGGGCCCAAGTGACCTCCTCCAGAGTAGAAGTAAGAGATGGAAGATAAGGTCCTGTTCATTTAGCTGTTGCATCAGCTCTTTGGTTTCCCAGTGCTTGCTCACGGGTTCCTGATTGATAGCCTTTGCAATGAATCACAGCTATTTCAGCGCTCAAGTAGATATCTTATAATAGAGCTCATATTTGAGGTCCGCATTTTATAGAATTATTTTTGGCGTTGAGGGAGTCCCTTTCTTTCCAAACAGCAGTATGTACATGTAACATTACAAAAGTATATTTGAAAGCAGAGTATATTGTGTACCATTTGTCCAACTGAACATTAAAGCACGAGTCAAAGTAATCAATTCAGCCAGTTGTGCTGATGTCCCTAAAGGCCAAGGCTGGACCTCCATTATGCCCATAAGAGAAGCAATTACATGGCCAGCTTGTCTTTTGCCATTTATTACACAGGAGTGGTCATCACTAAACCAGATTACATCTGAGTTATCAATCAGTCATCTCCTAGGTCTGGTTTGTCATTTAAGGACTCGTAGGATTTAGCCATTCCCCATAATACCTAGCAATCCATAGCCAATAACAGCACAGGAAAGTGAAAAGCTGCTTTCTGGAGCTAGGGGCTGGATGGACTTGGGTGGCTGTCCATGCTCTACTGAAAGAGCTTGATGCCCTAGGTTATGACAAACCCTAAATAGTGGATATCCTTTGACAGCTGGGAAATTAAAAATCTGAACCAAATGATCTTGGGCCTTTATTAGAGAAGCAGACAAAAAAGATCATCCACATCATGTATGATAGCCCATTTGTTAGGATTAGGTCACTTAAGTCCCTGGCTAAAGTCTGTCCAAAAATACACGTACTGTCTGTCCCTAAATCCTTGGGAAAGAACAGTCTAAGAAAGCTGTTTGTTCCAACCCAAGTCATTGGTCCAATAGAAGGAAGAAAAGAATTGGTATACAAAAGCAGGCCACTTTAAGGTTTAGGACTGTAAACCATTGGGTGTTTGAAGGAATTTCACACAGCAGAGTAAAGTGGTTTGGAACAAGTGGATGTTATGGAATAACAGCCTCAGTTATAGCACAGAGCTCTGCACTAAATGATAATCACCACTGGGCTTCTTAATAGCTAGAACTTGGGTATTACAAGGTGACTGAAAATGCACTACAAGTCCACAGTGAAAGAACTTAGTTATTAGAGTTTGTTGTCCTGCTTGAGCTTCAGATGGAGGAAAATACTGTTCAAGGTGTGGGAACGCATGAGAATTTTTTAGCTTAATCATTACTGAGGTGGAAGTAATAGTTCTTCCAGTCATATCAGAGGCTGATACCTGGGGTTTAATAGGAAGGTTAGTGTTGTGGTTTATGTCTAGATGTCCCCTCAAAGCCTCATATGGTCACAGGTGGGGCTTTTTCAGGGGTGGCTGGATCTAGAATGTGTGATGCTGGGATCAATTCATGGTGCAATGTTAGGATCAAGGGCACTAAGATTAAGGGTTTGAGTGCTACCTGCTTGGGTAAGATAGAAGGGATAGAAAGCACTGTGGTCGTCCCTTGTTGCTTTGCTTCCTTCTGCCCACTGTGAACTGTTTCTCCTCTGCAATACCACCCTGCCTTGGAGCCAGCTGATTATGGACTGAAACCTCCACAAACTCTGAGCTAAATAAACCTTTCCTCCTTTAATTTTGGGTGTTGGGTATTTTGTCTCAGCAATGAGAAAAATACCTAAAATAGTAAGAACAAAGTCATTGTCCACATTGGTGGGAAAGCCAACCATTGTCAAAACTGTGGGGCTTCTAGATGAGCCAAAAATAATTTGAGCCCCCATCTTGGTTGAGCCCCCATAAGTCTCAGCCTAGTTAAGGAACTGGACATTCAGGCATTACCAAAAAAGCATGGATATGCAGAAAATTATTCCATAAACAACATGGAGGAAGAATAAAGTGCTTGGTCACTTGAGCACCATTCATGCCATAACCTGACAAGAGTTGGATGTCAGTGTTCAGAATAGGAGGTAAGAATAGAAGAAGAGGCCCTACTATCAAGGAGGGAGTTTATGGTTCTGCCCATGACGTCCAATGTTGTGGAGGACCACCTAGGCAGCTCTCCTTGAAAAAGGCGCTATTGCCTCCACTTTGGCTGAGCCTGACCCTATTTCCATGTATTGATAGGTACAGAGCTGGCTAGGACCCTTTCCTTATCCCCTCGATTGGCTTTAAGCAATGCATACCGGTCTAGCAGAGGTGCTGATGGTAGTCTTTGAAGACGACAGGTGTGTTTCCTCAAACCGCTCCCCGCCCTTGTTTCCATGGGTGAGTGAGCTGGGATGAGGCGGGATGTGTGAGCCAATGCTCCACACTGTTGGCTGGGATGGAGCCTTGAGATAGAGGCTATGACTTTCTGAGGCTTGAAAGATCACACATCAGAACTGAAGGACCAACCCCAAAACATCAGATACTACCTCAGTTGTGTTATGCAGATTCCTCTTTCTGCATAGCTTCCTCTCTGCCTTGGCAGAGGTGATTTCTGGTCTCCTACCTAGCCTAGCTCATGGCGCTCACCTACTTCCCACAGTTCTCACAGTCACTCATCCTCAAGCCTCTCCCTTTGTTATGGTTGATATATTGTGTCAACTTGGGGAGTCTAGAGGTTTGGCTAAGTGACTCAGCAGGAAGCCAGGGTGCTTACTTTGTATACATCCTGAGCCTATGGAAGAGGAGGGCATGGAGATTATGTGAGAGCTACACGCCCCTTAGGTGGGGGTAGCCTGTTTACAAAGTAAGGGAGGAAAAGAAGCTGCTTGCAGCCATTCCCGTTTTGCTCTGGCTGTTTGCTGTTCTGCTGCCATTCCCCCCTTTGCTCTTGTTGATTTGCTATCTTCTGCCTCGGAGCCAGCCAAATATGGACTGAAACCTCCACAAACTGTAAGCTAAATAAATCTTTCCTTCCTTCATTTTGGGCGTTGGGTATTTTGTCTCAGCAATGAGAGAAAAGTAACTAAGACACCCTTCTTCATGAATGAATAAAACCTGGGTTTGGCCCTGGGTGGAGACCTTTGTTCCAGATGGCCATCATCATGGCTGAACTTAGGACCCCTTGGCTCCCCATAACTACAAATATGCCTTAGTGTCTTTATCCTCACCATGGGTTGCACTGGAAGTGGTAGATTGGAATAACTTGTTAAAATTCCAATAACTTTTCATGGGATTACAAATATAAACTTCCTCCGCCATGAGGAGGCCTGGGAAGGGCTCTCTATAAATGTTACCCAAGGCTGCATCCCATGATGTGATGACTGTGCTGGGGGCTGACTAAAGCCTTGGGTTTCCTCATGACAGGGACAACTGGGATTGGGGTGCTCCTTGATCCACAGCACTGTATGCCCTCCGCTGTCCGTTTTGCCATATTCAGGGCAAGGTGACTTAGGAGGTCGATCTGTATCAGCAGTCTCTCCTCTAGCGGCCCATCTGCCAACAGACATGACACTTACTAGTTCACTTACTTCCCTCTGGAAAAGAGCCAGCGGGCAACATCCTGTCACCCCACAATGCAGCAAGAAGCTCTGCTTGGTTTTTGTCCTCTCTCACTTTCATTTACTCTTAGCTTTCTTTGGCCGTCCTCATTCCTCTCTTTTATATTCCAGTTACAAAAAGCAGAATGAGCAGCATTTAGTAGCCTGGGAGTTCGAGTCCCGAAGACATTGTTTTTAGCGCCTCCTAATATCAGCGGTAAGAAATCTGCCTTTAGGAGGATTTGGCCCTCATAGGTCTGAAGGCCAGCCTCACATGACCTCCTTAGTCATTCCAGAAATGATGTTGGGTTTTTATTTGAGTCCCTCAGTTGCCCTCTCTGTAAAGCTGGGATGACAAGAAGTATGTCCATCTCTCATAGGATTGGGAAGAGGATTAAATGGGTCTGCACCCCCAAATCTTCTGGAGATCCTAACACCCCGACTCAGACCCAGTACAATCACAACAATCTCTATAGATGACAAGAGAGCAACAATAGTCATGAAACTTCACTGGGTGAGTACAATGCAAAATCAAGTTTGGAAACCAATGAGTTAGTCTGACCCCTGAGTCGGATCCTTCTGGAATTACGGCCCCTTCTGGAATTATGGCCCCTCCCAGTCCTTAAAAACCCGGGTTCCCGGACCCCAGATGACTGCACAACCTGCTCCCCAGACCCCCGCACCACTGGGCCCCAAAGCCCCACCCATGCACACTGGTACTTTCAGTCCCTGTGACTCATTGGACGCATTCTCTCTTCTTATTGGTTTTCGGAGATGTCCCGCCCCACAGCTCCACCAATCATCGCCGCACCGTAGATTCTTAGAGCGTGGAGCGGCGGCTCCCGGGGTCAATCACTGCAGGGTTGACGTCAGTTGTTGTCTGTTCTGAGGCTGCGCGGCTCCAAGAGTTCCCACGGTGCTGCTGTCTCCGCCGCCGCCGCAGCGGCCGCCTCTGTGTCTCCGCTGCGCTGACAGCCACAGGTAACCGCGGGCCCCCTCACGGGACTAGGGTCAGTATCCAAGCAGGCCAGGGCTGCGGATCAGCCGCAGGTCGTGGCCTCAAGGCTTGGATTTTCACTTTCCCGAAACCTTGTCTGAGCAATCTGTTTGTTGCACTGCGAAGGGGACTTTCGGGTACTTGAGTCCCCAGAGAACCCCTGCGACTTTTGCGCCCAGAGTCTTGAGAGGGTGACGGTGACAGAGGAGGTGGGTTCCGTCTTTTCCCGCCTGCTTTGGCTGGAACGGCGTGTTGCTCCGGAAAGGAAAAGGAGGCTGTAGAGAAGGCCGGATCAGTTGAGATCCCACAGCTAGGGAGTGTCCAGCGGGATTCGGGGCTTGGTTCTGACCTTTACAGCCTAGGAGTTCAGGCTGTTGATGCTTTTAACACATGAGGATTAAACCCAGGAGATGAGGAAGAGCTGTTAACAGCAGCAACACAAACACCCAAACAAAAATACCCCAAAATTTCCTTCCGAGAAGTCAGGCAGATGTGGTTCTGGAAAAGTTTCGGGGCGACCCACATCAACTGGGAGAATGTAAGCTAACCGGGAGTGGTCCCTTGCCCCCGTAGGATTCAGGGTAGTTCTGTGTCGACCTCTCTAGCGTCTGGAGACTGTAAGAAGGCACTTCTGTCACGTGCTTTGTGCCCGGGTCTGAGACTCGACCTGTGACCTGTAGGGAGTGGAATAGCATTGCTTTCTGGAGCTTTACTAAGCTTTTTGAGTTGGGATTACTTCGTGAAGGGGAGCTGCATTCTACGAACCTTTCCAGTGTTATAGGGTAGGAGTACAGGTGTGTATAGGGATTGCATTCCAACCCTGACTTGTGGGAAGAGAGACGCGTTCATAGAGAAGGGGATGCTCAAGTTAAATTGGAGGCGCTAGTGTGGGAGGAGCATTTCACTTGGAAAGCAACCTGGCGAAGGCAGGGGAAGAGCAATGCTTTTGTACCTGGAGTTGAGCCTAATTGGAGGAAGGGTTTTCACGTGGGTGGTAAATTCTATGAGCCATGAGCATAGAGAGGAACGTCTTGATCTGTCCTGTGCCGCTGAGAGAGATCTCGATGTTGTCCTGAACGCCCAAGGAGCTGCTGCCCTTGAACTCACTTTTGTAGCCTAGGCTGGTCTCAAACTCCCAAGGATCTTCCTGCCTCAGTCTCCTGAGTGCTAGGATTACAGGCGTGCGCCACCACGCCCGGCTTAAATCTGTATCTTAAATACCGGGTAGGGTAGAAAACTGCTGGGGAGAGGTCATACTAAAGACCATTGCAATAATTTCTAGGAGAAATTCCCAGAGTTTTAAAGACCAATGAAGTGGGAGAAAAGATTTTGATCTATCAAGGAAGTAGAATATATGGTATTCAGTACCATTCAGAAAAAAAAAATACACGAATACTGTTGCTTAATGAAGGGGATGTGTTTTGTGAAATGTGTCATTAGGCGATTTTATTGTTATTCACACATGGAGTATATTCACATGAGCCTAGATACGGTATAGGCCACTGGATGTGCCTCTTCATGCAAGGAAAAGATGTACACAGGAGGTGGCTAAGGCTGCTGCTGGCATAACAAGGCGTGCTGTTTTACAGTAACTTTTTTGTATATAATTAGGAGTTTTTTCTAATATATGACAGACAATGTAGTATAGTAAGTATATAAACCACTACCATAATGCTTTGTCGTTATCAAGTGTATGTACCATACTAAATTGTATGTGCTGTACTTTTATGCAACTGGCAGTGTTTACAACTAGTAAATTTGTTTACCCACCCCTGAGCTGCATCCCCAGCGCAAGCATTATGCTAGGACATTATAATGGTACAATGTCATTGACAGTAGATGTTTCAGCTACATTATAATCTTATGGGACTGCTATTATACGTGTGGTCCATTGTTGATCAAAACATCATTATGCAGTGCATGGCTGTATATTGAAGTGAAGCTCTGGGAGGCTTTCCTACCTATGACTCTTTTGAAGAAATTCCCAGTATTTTTTTTTAACCACAGAAGTTGCTCAGTAGATCATAATTTGGGGGGAAGTTCTCTTAGGTATTGAGGGTGTTGAAATGTGAATGATTAAATATAACTCAGATTTTCTTGTAGTCCAGGAAGTGCACATTAAAACCACGATTATTCCCCTTCTGGGTATTTTCCCAGAAGAAATGAAAACATCATACCACAGCAGTATGTGTGCACCCATGTTTATAGCAGCACAATTGTAATAGCTAAGTTTTGGAAACAACCCAGACGCCCATCAACCGAGGAATGGATAAAAAAGATGTGGTATTTTTATACAATGAGTACTACTCAGCTATAAAAAAAGATGAAGTCGAGGCTTTTATAGGTAAATGGGTGCAACTAGAGATCGTACTCATAAGTGAAAGAAATCAGAATCGCTTGTGTAAACCTCAAATTGTCTCCCTCATGTAAGAAACTGAAAGAGTAAATAAGATTAAAAAGGTACAATAAATATAGTGAAAGGGAAAGAAACTGCTCAAAAGGAAAGAACAGCTGGGATGGGGGAAAAGAGGAAAGAAGGAAGGGAAAAAAAGATGTCTATATACATGAGATAGCTAAAATAATTGTACTACTACTTTCTATTAGTTCATTGAAAGGAACTGTTATTGCTTATATTGTTTGATCAATTTTGCATGCCTGTATCTTGTAATCTGAGCAATTACTTTGAAGATACAATATGCAATATAATAACCATTGTTAATTTCCTATCATCTTATTTTGAAATTCTGTATTGTTTTTATTGGTTTTTTTTTTTGTTTGTTTTTTGTTTTTTTTTTTGTTTTTTTTCCGGTACCAGGAACCGAACTCACGACCTTGCGCTTGCCAGGCAGGCGCTTTGCCGCTGAGCTAAATCCCCAGCCCTGGTTTTTTTTTTTTGTCTGCTTAAAAAAAGCCATGGTTAGATATTTATCAGATTAAGAGTTGTAAAGTTTGATCCTGTCAAGAAATGATAGGTACAAAGGAAATGTGGGATGCATGTGTATCTTAAGATAGTATAGCCACTAGCAAAATGTGTATATTTTGTTTTCTGGTACCAGGAATAGAACTCAGGACCTTGCACTTGCCAGGCAGGCATTGTGCCGTTGAGCTATATCCCTGGCCCAGTATATATATATATTTTAAAACCCTGTTGTTCCACTTGTAGAAAGTACCCTTGACATTTGTATACAAAGAGAGGGATAGTAAGATTTTTATTGCAGCACTGTTTATAATAGTTAAAAAAAAGGGGAAACAGCCTAAAAGTTCATTGGCAGAGGAATGTGTATAGAGTAGATTTAGATCTTTTTAAAATGAATGATAAATTAACTGGAGATGCTACTTTGGAAGAGTATTACCTTATGGAGTGTAGGGAATGGGATTATATGGAAGGAAAATTTTACTTGTAATGTTTTATTTGGAAAAAAGACAACAAATTTACAAAATATTAACAGCTGATAGGCTGGTTCTCTAGGTAATAGATAGTGGATGTTTTATGTTATTTTTGTATATTTGTCTACTCCTAAATTTCTTCAAATAAAAATTATCCTTTAAAGTAAAACTTTAACCTAAAAATTAGCATGTAGGTATAAAAATTAGGTTAAATAGTTTTGGAAAGAGACCACAAATTGCATTAGTACCAAATTTCAAAAATAGTGATATGAGTGAAAGAGAATTTGTATGCCAAATAAGCACTGAAAATAAAACATGGAGATACTATTAACCGTTGGCCAGAATTGCTACCCACGTTAGTAGATTTATGGCACCGGGAATCGAACTCAGGACGTTGCGCTTGTTAGGCAGGCACTTGTGCCACTGGGCTATATCCCCGGCCCCACTTTAGTAGATTTCAATAAATATCTTTTGTGTGTGTTTTTGAGGTAAGAGAAGAAATAGAGATAGGTAGAAAAGAGACAAGGGAATTTTATTTTAAAATTGTAGTTTCGGCTGGGGGTGGTAGTGCGCCCCTGTAATCCCAGCACTTGGGAGGCCTCTCCCGAGGCCCTCGGGAGAATTTGAGACCAGCCTAGGCTACATAGTGAGTTCAAGGCCAGCCTGAAATACAAACCAAGACTCAAAAAACCAAACCAAACCAAACCAAACCAAACCAAACCAAACAAAAAAAATTGCAATTTTGATAACTGCAGCTTTAACACATAATCAAAGTTACCCAAGATTACAATGCTGTTTTTACCCCTAGGCTTTTTTGATTTTCCTCTTCCAAGTCTCCTCACTCCCAAATTCCTAAAGGGTCTTAAAGATACAATAAATCATAAATTCAGCCTGTGTTTTTCTGTGGATATTATAGATCCTTAAATTTTGTTTTGTTTTGTTTTGTTTTTGGGTACTGGGATTCGAACTCAGGACCTTGCACTTGCTAGGCTGGCGCTTGTGCCACTGAGCCATATCCCCAGTCAGATCCTTAAATTTCAAACACTTCCACTCTTGAAGAAATAGCATTGTCAGGCACCAACCATGTCTCCAATCAAACACATATGAATGGTCTGCATTTTCACCTAATTGATACAGCTAGTTTTTCTGTCACTTAAGGAAGTAGACTCTAGGTAAATAAATGATAAGTAACTCAAAAAACACAGGTCCCAGGTCACCTGTCGGAGGCTACCCCAAGACCACAAAACACTGCCAACCCCAGACCACAGTGCATCATGCTCTTGAGCTCTGCACCCTTTTCTCACCATATAGTTCTTGGATTCTATGTAATAAATATTTCTCTCATGGACACATCCTGAAATGCTTTTCTGAAGAGCCAATAACCTACCTTGGGCAGGTTGAGGTCCCCGTCTCCTCTATAGGGGGGTTATCCCAGACCCTACGTGGTGGTATTATGAAATATGTTTGTTGCTTATACTTCCCGTAATATTGGAAGATAATTTATTTTTTTATTTTTAATTTTTTTGTCCCGTACCAGAAATTGAACTCACTACCCTTGCGCTTGCCAGGCAGGCGCTGTGCCGCTGAGCTAAATCCC